ATTTTAATTTGTCTAAATTGTGAAGCACTTTTTTCAACATTTGTGTTTTATATACAACATTAATAAATTCACATTGCTATTTGTTGGGTAGCATTTAACTACATTATTAGAAAAATGCAGGGTTAATAATTAAAATATGGATACTATATTAATAACACAGGGTTAAAATAATTTGAAATGAGAATTACTTTATAAAGAACCTAGTTGTGTGGACCTTATTGAAACAACAAACAGGAATTAGATCCTCATTTACATATACACAAAACACTGATATGCAAATGTAACAAAACACAGCTGTGAGACTCTAATAAGTAATGCAGGAAAATGTCAGTCTCTGTAATTTGAACAAGAACATATTCTGTAATCTGTCAGTTGTTAGCATAGATTAAGCAATGATATACATATGGGGTTGTGGTAGCTCGGTGGTCAGTGCTACAGTCTTAGGCTGTAGACTTGAGCCCAAGTTGTGGCAGAAAGGGCATCCAAGCATTAAACAATTGTCAAATCCTCTGTGCGAGTTTGCTCCCTGTGGGGACCCATGCAGAAGACCGTAGCCAAAAAAAGAAAAAGATACAATGAAACGCATTGAGGGTTTTAGCTGTGAAGGAGCAGACCACTTCACTAAACTATTAAATCATTTACAGAAGCTAGAAAATCTCAAATTTGAATTTCAAAGAGCTTGTGTTCTAATGCTACAGCGAGTCTGCAAAGTCTTTAGAGATGGATTTTTTTTCACGCTCCGTGTGAAAACTCCTTACCTGCATAGCAGCATAGATGGATACAAACAGACACAGAGCAACAGATTGAGAAAATAACAGATTGAACTTGTGTGAGAGCAAGCAAGAAACATCCTCCCACTGCTGTTGTCGCTCATCTGACAGAGAAAAACTTGGCCCATCTGCTCTGCTACAAACACTGTGCCATAGCTTATGCATTCTCACCTAAAATGACAAATGCTGCTGGGAGCTCACCATCATCAGAGGTGCCTGCTGTAGTAGCCTCAAGCAACAGAAACATGAGAAATAATAATATGGTGGATTTACAAAATGAATACCTGAATTGCCATCTGTGCAGAATATTTACTATTTCCTTATGAATCATAAAAACAAATTTGATAACGGGGAAAGAGATTAACACACTTATTTTTTTCCATTAAAGTACCCAAAGGTTCAGATTATAAAGATTTGTGGAAAATACAAATTTGAAAGAATTTGTAGTGTGACGGGGTCTGATTTCAGCAGGTTGTTGTTTACCCTGACCCCAATCCTTCTGCCAGGGCCCCCCGGTCAAATCATAAATCCTGTACCGAAACGTGTGCATTACATAAAGAGTGAAGCTAAAGGCAGAGCTGAACTTTGAAGGTCTCAGTTAAAATTCAACGCCGCTCTGTCACTTGTGCTCTCTGCCGGCAATGAAAGTGTCAAAGCAACTTACGATCTGAGGCCACGATGGGTCCTCGCAAAATCACTGGCTGTGGTCTGCGTTGGAGCCGCACAGGCAAAAGCCGTTAGGGATGCATATGAGCTTTTGTTTGACATATTTTGAAATGGATTTTATTTTTGTAAATACTAGTATAAAGGAAAAAACGCTGAGTGTCTACCTTCACTAAACGTCAAACAGTTGTGAGGATCTCAGCTATACACATTGAGACAATGACTTACTGCAAAGAGAGAATAGAGCTTAGAGCCAGTTCTTAGTCTGTCTGTGTTTTGAGGTAGTCTGATTTACAGATAAGTTGAAGTTTGACTGGAAGTAGCTGAGATTCAGGCACAATACATACTCTTTGGTGCATCTCATTGCTCATATTTCTCGATATTATACAAGATCAACCATGGCGTTATTTTCAAGGTTTGACTAAAACAACTGTAACACTTTTCTCAACATAAGATGATCCTTCAAGAATTGCTGCTCCTTTCTTTCTTTCTTTATTTATTTATTTATTTATTTATTTATTTATTTATTTATTTGTTTGTTTTGCCAGAGTATTGATGTTAGGGGCTAAGGCAGTTTAGAGGGCAGGACACCAGAAATGCTGACGATGTGTTATTTTTATAATAATACCAAATGAGACACAAATTTGTTAAATGCAAAGTGAAAACTATCACGAGTTCGTCAATCTACTGTGTTCTCCTTTAAATTATGCTGAAATATTCAATTGGGTAAATAGAAAATCAGAAATCTTCCACAGGAGGTGCACTAAAATGCTGTCTGCACAAGCTTTTCTTGTTTTTTTCCTTCCTCATCATCCATCATGTAGAAGAATCAAAGAAATCCAATCTGTGACATTACAAATATTTTAACCAGACTTGAGCTGTCAAAAACAAAGAAAAATCCTATCAAAGAAAACATTTAACTTGTAATTTCTTCATTAACTCTGGCTATTGTGTGCAGCTTCTGTGTGGGTTTGATTGGTGTCCTTTAATCAATATTAAAGACAGCCAGACTCAATGTTTGTTACCTTAAATTTGTTT